ATTTGCAACACAATGCATTGAGAACATCTCCAGAAATTCTGTGGCCAAACAACCACAACTTTCATGCATTTCCATGGTACATATTGAACTTGGCACTGAACAAACCTTATACTGCTCCAGTGTCTTAGACACTACTCTGAGATGACATTTCTAGAAGGGAAGAGGCTAGGAGAGGAACACTAGGACTAGCTGAGCCTATTGACTCTGTACTTCATAGTTTTCCTCCATTTCATACTTCAATTAATATTGTTTCTAACCCTGTGCAAGATAGCTTTTCTGGGGATTCCTATCTCCTCTCCATTTCATACTTCAATTAATATTGTTTCTAACCCTGTGCAAGATAGCTTTTCTGTGGATTTCTATCTCCTCTCCACCTGAAACTTTTGCATGTTTGGTCTAATTTGGATGATTGAAGGAAAACTCGACATTGGGTTCTAAATGGTCTTGGTATTTTTTGTCTCCTTGTGCCTTATGTTTTGTTATGCAAGAGAAGTCTGAGTCATTTCAATAACAAAGTATCTCCCAGTTGTATGTCATTTTGGTAAAATTCCAAGTAAGAAAATTATGAACTGAAAAAGAACAAGAATCTTTGAAAAAAAAAGAAAGAAAACTCCAACAATTATGATACAGTGAAATATCCTTAGGATAATTTTATGTAAAAACACTTTGGGATATTTTGGTTTTGTGCAATTCCAAGTGAAAGCTCATAACCTTAAAATATCTTCCAAATCATTCACATAAGTGTTACTGCAGATATGTACACAAGCATGGAAAGTACCATATACACATACATATATATATCCTATTGTTGGTATAATTTAGCTGCTGAGTATGGCCTTCTTAATTTATCCTTTAAGAATTTCTTTTATTCTTCTAAGAGTGAAGATTTATTACCCCTTCATTTGTTTAATCAATTTTTAAAAATTTGTAATACCCTCTTTTAGAACTATAAAATTATTTTCTAGAGTTCAACTAGTATAGTGCTTACTTCTGATGGAGTGATTATGTTTGCATATGTGACCTGGATAAGCAAACTGTAAGTCCTGTAGATAATATTTTGCAGTTATCAAGATCCCATGACTGATTAATTCTATTGTAAACTAGCAAACTCCTTAGAAGGTTCTTTGACCACAGCTGAGCCCAGATTTTCATAGGGTAGGACTTCTTCAACCAGCTTTGTAGGCTAGCTTCCAATCTTCTTGGTAAAGTAGAATTATCCTTAAATTTTGGTCATAGAAGCTCCAGCATCAGGAATGATTAAATAAGGTCTTAAAGGCAGCAGTAGGAGAATGCTTATAGCAGGTAAGTGTTCCACCTGCAGCCACAGATGGGAGGCATGACTGTGTCTACATACATTTGAGACATGAAATTGAAGGTGTTATCACTCCCATTTTATAAGCACTGTCAGAGAAGTACTTAATATGCTGACCCCGTTTTCCATTTCATCCCTACACCACCAAGATATTTTGATTATTTAAAACCACAAAATGAGGACTAAGGGCTACAACTCAGTGGTCCAACCAAGTACTTTGTAAGAGCAAGGTCATGGGCTCAATTCTCGACACTAAAACAAGACCCAAAAAAAAACCTTCAAATGGTAAAATACTCAGGTCTTTTGACTCCTTGCACTGTGATAAAATTCAGTTCTGATATATTCAAAAAGCAGCCAGGTGCTTCTGGTCTTAACTGATTTTTCTCACCAGAAAATTGAGGCATTCCAAAGAATATACTAAGATACACTCATGTTATTTCTATAAATATGTATAAATAAGTATTAGACAACACTGTTTTCTGACAAGAATCACTATACAAATCTATAACAAGGGAAAAGTGTGTGTGTGTGTGTGTGTGTGTGTGTGTGTGTGTGTAAGTGTATACCTGGATACATATATTGTCCTAGAAATTAGTAATCCTCTCTTGTGCCATGTTGCTGTAACTTTTGTCCTTGGGGTTGTAGCCTGGAATCTGGGCCAAACCTTCTTGTTTGAGTCCATTCTGTAGGGCAGATTCAACCCCTTGTTTCCAGGCGCTGCCATGGTCAAGGTAATCCTGAAGAATATGGAAAGACAATATTAAAAACACAATCTTTTTATGTGTGTTCAAAATCAACTTGAGGGATATTGCTTTAGGTCTTTGCTTCAAATAATGCTATGTTAATAATAAAACAAAACAAATAATTCTTACCCAAGAGAGTTATTTACTGATAACTGATCTAGGAGTTGTTTACAGTAATAATAACTTTATGCATTCAGTGTCCTGTGTTGATTAAAAACATCATTATATCTCACAGTATATCAATTCTGTGGAGCAGTGTGTAATATTCCCTGGTAAAGAGTTATAAAACTGTCCCTGATGGTGGCCCCCTTCCTACTACTTGTGAACAGTAAAAGTACCTTATGCAAATTTCCCAGGAGTCTGTTCAACATTTGAAGAGAAGGGGCAAAGGGACCCAATAGTCTCACCCTGGTTGCTTTCTCCCCTTGTCAACTCAACATTCATTATGAAAGCTACCTGAGTCAATAGAATTGACCACCTCTTCCAAAAAATTCTTATCTAGTAAGTTCATACACTAGTAAGATTCATTGCTTCAAATAATTCCTAAAACACACCTAACCAAATAGACTACTTAACTTGCTTCCTTCCCAGCAAACTGCTCCTAAGAAAAAAAGCTCCCACTCAGACTTGCAGATTATTTTAGTGGAATAAACTTCTTTATTTATGAAAGCATTGACAAGATTGACCTCAGGATTTTCATCTAGATCCGTTCACTTATTTAAAGATCTCATAGTTTTGTTGAATTCAATCAGAGCTTTACATTTAAAGATTTTTCTGAAATCACTTGAGTTGAAAACTCTACAAATACCTATACCTAAGATTCCCATTCTAAGACTATGATAAGATGGTGTTCCCTTGAATGCAACATATATTAAACTGTGCTTTATTTCCTTCTTAAAAGATTTTAATTTTGTGGGAGGATGAAGAGGTGCCTTGGCGATTAAGAACACTGATTGTTCTTGCAGAAGACCTGGGTTCTAATTGCAGCACCCACATGGCAGCTAACAACTGTCCGTAGCTCCAGTTCCAGGAGATCCGACAGCCTCTTCTGACCTCCAAGGGAACTGCACGACACAGATGCACTTACCTACATGCAGGCAATGCATGCATACAAATAAAAATAATAAATAAAATTAAAAAAATAAATTAAAAAATATTTATTTTTATTTTGTGTATATGAGTGTTCCATTTGCATGTATATAAGAGTACCAAATAAGAGCTTGGTACCCACCAAGGCCAGAAAACAGTGTTGATTCCCTAGAACTGGTGTTATATACAGATGACAACCACTATGTGTGTGCTGGGAACCAAACCTGGGTCCTCTGAAAAAGCAGTAAGTGCTCTTAATCTCTGAGCCACTTCTCTAGACTGGTTTTCTTTCTTGTGCATACTATTAGATGAATATTTTCTAAATAAAATAACAATTGACAGCTCAGAAACATGGTATAGCCAGGAATGGTGGTACACATTTAATCCCAACACTTCAGAGGTAGATGTAGGTGTATATGTGAGATATAGGGCAGCAAGTTCCAGGCAGCTGGGGCTACAGGAAGACCCTGTCTCAAAAAGACCAACCACACACACAAAACCCAAAAGAAAAATATAAAGAAATACTAGGTGAGCAAGGGAAGGAGAAGGAGGAGGGGAGAGGGGAGGGAAAGGAGAAAAAGAATGAAGAAACAAGAAAGAAAAGAAAAAAGAAAGAAAAGGAAAGAGAAAAGAAAAAGAAACATAGTATGTAATATGGGTTGAGTTCCAAGCACTAGAAGAGGAAAATGTGTGAGTCTTCAAGAGTGAAAATAAATTTAAACTTTAAGAAACCATATTATAAAGACTCTGAACAAAGAAAAGACCAGAACTAGACAGACTCACTGCTAAATTCTATTACATTTATCAAGGAAAATTAACACCAATGTTCCAACAAACTGTTCCATAAAATAAAAAAGGAGAGAAATGCCATGAAACTCATTCTATGAAATCAGAATTATTGCCCTGACACCAAAACTGAAAAAGGCACACAATTTTCTTGGTGAACACACATATAAAATTCTTGCAAATCAAATTCAAGACCAAATTAAGAAGATTATACACCATAATGAACTTGATTTCACTGCATGGATGCAAAAAAGATACAACATACACAATATCTAAAATATACAAACAATTTTAACAGTTGAATATATATATATGCATATATATGCCAATAAAAATTTGAAAAATGTTCAACATCCTTAGCCATCAGTAAAATGAATTAAACTGCTTTAAGATTCCATCTTGTGCACCAGGGCTAGACTTCTCTGCCCTTCATAAGGAGCCCAGACCTTAGCAGACTGCCTGAGAGTGCTTAAATCGGATCTCCCCTTAGCAAGCTCCCCAAATTGTGCTGTGACTGCTTGCTAGTAGGGACTCAGACATTAGAAGGAAGCTTGAAAGTACCTGACTGGCACCTGACTTAGGCCTCTTCAGGAGCTCCTGAATAGTTGGACTGAAGCCATCTGGTCACTCAATTATAAAAAAAAAAAAAGAGAGAACCTGAAGCCTAGACCAACCAATTTTATATAACCAAAAAGAATACAGCCAAGGCACACCAATAATACAAACAGAAGCAGGCCTCAACTCAACAAAGGAAATCTTAAGTTTCATACCAGAATCACAAACAACAAAAGAAATCCACATGCCAAAATCAAAATAGAAAAATAATATGGAAAACCAAAATAATGTTTCCACCAAATAGTGCCAGTCCTATAGAAGATTTCTAAAAGAAGAACCCCTTTGAGATAACCCAGGACACAAAATTTAAGAGAAAAATCACAAACATGATCAAAGAATTCAACGAATTTAAAGAACACACACACAAATCAAAGAACTAAAAGAAGATAGGAATAAACTTGTGACTGAATTCACAAAAGAGATAGAAATCTTGAAGAAAACTCAGACTTAAATGAAGAAGGAAATGAAAAACTCAGTAAGTGTATTTGAAGCAACAGGAGAAAGCCTCATCAATAGAATGAGTGAAATAGAAAACAGAATATCAATACTTCATGATAAAGTTGAAGAATATGAACCACTCAAGCAAAGACTGTGAAAAAAAGTTCAAAAACACAGGAATTGAATATGCAAGAACTGTGCAACACCATGAAAATGACCAAATTTACACATCATAGGCATAGAAGAAGGAGAAAATTTTCAATTTAATGGTAACAATCAGATCTTAAACAGGATTGTAGAAGAGAATTTCCCAAAATTAAGGAAAGACATACCCATGTAAATACAAGAAGCATGTAGAACATCAAATAGAAAAGAAACTCCTCAAGGCATATCATAGTAAAAACAGTAAATGTACAGAACAAAGAGAGAACACTGAAATTTGCAAAAGAAAAAGAAAGTCACATACAAAGAAAACCCATCTGAATTACAGCCGATTTATCAATGCAAACTATGAAAGCCAAAAGAGCCTGGACCAATGTATTATCAGTTCCAAATCACCATAGATACCAATCCAGAATACTTTACCCAGCAAAAATGCCTGTTATAGTTGAAAGGGAAAGAATAATCTTCCATAACACAAATAGGCTGGATGCATGTCTACAAAATCAGCCCTTTAGAGAATACTTGTAGCTATACAATGAATGAAAAAAGGAACAATCATACCCAAAGGGCAAAAGAAAGAAACTAAGTGAAGGTGCCATTGAGGAAACATAAAATTAGACCAAGAATGCAAAGAGAATTTAAAATGATGGCAACTGATACATATCTTTCAATAATAACTTCAAACATCCATGGACTGAACTCCCCAGTCAAAAGACAGAAACTAGTTGAATGGATTAAGAAAGAAAATCCATCTCTTTGCTGTTTTCAAGAAACCATCTCACCTTCAAGGACAAGCACTACCTTAAGGTGGTGAAAGGATGGAAAAATATATTCCAAGCAAATGGCACTAAGAACAAGCAAGAGTTGAAATTCTAATAGTCAACAAAATAGACCTCAAACTAAAACTAATCAGAAGAGATAAACAGGGTCACTTAATTCTGATCAAAGGAATAATTGACCAAGATGATACTACAATTGTGAACATATGTGCACCAAACTCCAGTGTACCCCATTTTATGAAAAACAGTACTACAGGACTTTAAGACACAGATTAACCACAATTCAGCAGTAATGGGAGAATTCAATACCCCACTGTTTCCATTAGACAAGTCAACCAAAGAATAAACAGAGAAACATGTGAAGTTAATGATACTGTACATCAAACAGACCTAACAGACATCTACAGAATATTCCACCCAAGCACCACCTACTTGGGCCCAAAACAGCTCTTAACAAATACATACACACACACACACACACACACACACACACACACACACACACACACACAAAATAATTCCATGCATTCTATCAGATGACTACAATGCAATAAAATTTAAAATCTACAAGGGAAGAAGCCTAGCTGATAAAGATACAAGTCTTAGTGTTGTTAGCCTTGTCTGACACAAAATCACTTCTTGAAATAGAGTCTGGGGAAATTTGGTGCATCTTGCTGCTTTCATGACTATAATTCTCCACCACTAATTTATATTTATATGACTCGAATATGATATATCTCCATTGGTTAATATACTGAATGTTTGGCCTACAGCTGGCAGTGCTTTTGGGGAGGTTGTGGAATCTTTAGGAAGTTGGGCCCTGGAGCTTGTCCTAGGGGCTATTTCTTGCTCTGACCTTTCCCTTTACTCCTTTTCTTCTGGTTCTTCTCTAGTAATGGTGAACAACTTCCTCATACATAGGTTCCCACCACCATGATGCTCTGTCTGAATGCATGAGGGCAAGCAATCATGGATGAACCCTTTGAAATTGAGAACCAAAAAACATATATACTTTCTTCCTTTGAGGTCTTCTAAGAGGTACTGTGGTAAGAGATAATAAGGAAATTAACCAATGTAATATCTATAGAACTAGAAAAGTTTGTGTCTATGTCAGGCTGTATAATCATGCCCCTCAGAGAAGGTGAATAATCTATCCAAGGAAATGTAAGACATGGAACCAGAATTAGACCTACAGCTGTCTGACTTTCAGGTACATGATCTTAGCCTTTACATTTACTATGTCCTGTATTTTGTCTTTTTCTATAAGTTATTTTCACATTTATCCTAGAACTCACCTTTCCAGGAGTTAAAAGGCAAATTGGAAATTGGTCATTTGTAGTGACAACAATTCAACCCTAAGGCACAATTACTTACCAACATATTTATACACTTAAAAGAAAATTGGCTGAGGCAACTCTGAAGTTGAAATCCAGATTATTTCAAATTCTGACATTCATTGACCCCATGTGTCCTTTCCTTTGCAGTTGTCCCAAAGGCACAAACAAGTACTCCCTTTAAACCAATACCAATTTTAAGAAGCTGGCACATCCACTTACTTGCTCAGTTTCACTGTCATGCTGGACTCCACACCAGCACAGAGTTTTGTATTTCTTAGACCAAAAGCAAAATAAATTACAAACTGGTCTAATTAAAAGTGGGTCAATATCCTGGCCTTTTTGCCGACCTATTAGGAGAAATAGAGATGGGTTAGATGGCTTCAGACCTCCATGTGTAAACATTATCAGCTTGAGAGGAGGGTTACTTCTTAACAAAAAGATAAAAGTAAGTTTGGCAGGTGGATAAATATAACTTAGTTAACTGCTGAATGAGATGGAAGCTGTTTTATAAACTAAAAATTATAAATCAGGGAAGCTCAGGGCTATAAAGTTAAATTGTGATCACATATTTATTTGAAAATATTATTCTACTAGTAAATTTTGCAGGTCAGTTGAAGAAAGAGAAGAAATTGGGTTCGTTTTGGCTTCTTTCTTCCTCAACTTTTATCAAAATCACATGTTTTCAAGAACATCTGTTTGTATTTGTAAAGCTGTAAAGATGTTTACTGTGTCTCCTTCCTTGCAGTCTAGCATCAATATCATAGACAACATTCTTCCCGGGTTTAGCAGCCACTTTCAACTTCCCTCATACTTCTTTTCTGACCCTTAAAGCATATTTGGTTAATGGCCTATGTCTACAAACATACTGTGGAACAAGAATCAGACTGAAATTTGTTCTAAGATGGAAAGGATTATGAGTTCTTCCTCCTAGCACCTTCACTTATTTCAAGGCCAGGAGATGTAGTCATGAATACCCAATCCACTCAATGCTAGGTCAAGCATGAGAGCCAATTGGTCTAGAGGTCCCTAGAGAGAGACACACACATCAATCAAATTTCTTCTATGAGCAGACATTGTGCCTGTCCACAAGCTTTTGCTCAAATTTTTTTCTAGAGACATGAAAATACAGATTTTTAAAATTATAAATTCATGTTGAATTAACATATTCCAGAATATTAAATCAGCCTGTAAAAAGGCATTTTACTTAATAGAATTCTAATTAAATTGATATTTGTCAGTTAGTACCCTCTACATACTTGGCACATTTCACGTAGGTATTGTTGATAAGGAAGTTTATAAAGACTTAGTAAATGATGCAGCAGGGAAGTAGCCATATCTGGTCTTAGAACTCATAATATATTTTCCTTAATGTATGTGAGTGTGTGAGTAGTGGGGAGAAGTTTGCAAATCCTCAAAAATCCCAGAATGAAGAATTTCAGTGTGGTTCTGGATCAAAAGATTTAATTCAGAACCAAACCATGGGTTTCAGAGAAGATGGGTTCTCTGAGGAGGCCCTAAGTATCAAACACTCAGAAATAATGAAGATCCGTTATCTCTAAGGCCGCTGGGACCTGAGATTTCCTAACAAAGAAGCAATTCTTAGTTTTAAATGGTTTTATGTTCTGTTTTCTTCTAGAAAAGATCGGCTTTGAGAGAGAGTAGATAGTAAAGTGAAAGTCAGCAATAAATAAGAAGGTTGAAAATGGAAACAAACTCAATTTGGGGTCTGCACTTTCCATTGATCATGGATTTATAACATTTTTCACAAGCAAGTCCTTATAACTGAGGATTAATGAAAGTAGACTATAGATCTATGGATATAATATGTGTGAGAGGAAAAAATGTCAAAGAAAGGAAGTTTTTCTTAAAACAAGACAAGCTAGAAGAGGAAACATCATGGTTTTATTACAACTTTGACTTCCCTTCCTCTGAAAAGAAGCAACTTTGTATCAAAATACTAAGCCCACAAAACAGTGTGGTATCAACCCCACAAAAACAGTGTGGCCTAGAATCCATCTCATACTTACCTCCCCTACTGGGAACCTGGTGCAGGGCACTAACCTCAAAACCTTACAATGAAGCCCTGAATAGAGAAAAGCATTAGACTGGAGGTCAGAGGAGAAACATTCTTTGTATTTAATCTGCCTGCATAACTGCTATTACAAAGAAGTCCTCATACTCAAGTGCATGGGGTGGTTGCATTTCAAAACAACTTATTTTCTTTTCAATATACATGATATATTCTACAACTGTATGAAATAACCTTTAAAGAGAGGAATCCAGATATCAAACCTGTTATGAAGCTGATGATTATTCCAGCAAGTATGCATCCCAGGCAGCCCACTGCACTGTAGTAAAGATAGGAGAGGGAGTACCAGGTTTCAGCTAAGGCAGGTCTGTGGAGGACAAGGGCATATGTCACCCATTCTGTTTGTTCAGAAATAGGGACTCACAGTTAGTTAGGGCATGCACTCAGTTCATTTAGGTCTTGGAATTCCTTAAAACCCCCAAAACTTAATGTTTTGTGTTGATTAGTTTTAAATGAATCAATTATAAACTACTTTGCCTTGTTTTATACTCAATTTAAATTATCTCTGAATTAGAAATTGAGCAATGTACATAATAAATTATAGGTTTGTAATAACAAACATATCTCCCATTTCTTTTGTATTACTTTCTATTCGAATGCTTATTAACACGAGATTTAATGGATGGAATTGTGCCAGACATTTGTCTATGTATATGAGCTGACAGAAAATCACTAAAGGGACTTAGCAACACTCTCATAGGATAGGGATAAAGATTATAGGTTATTCAAAAAGAGTAAAAGCCTTTATATATTTTACATCATACCTCCCATTTACTTTTCAATCCTCCAATAAACTTTTTTTCACTTTTGTATATATAAATACAGAGAAAAGGATATCTGCAGAAAACTGTAGTCTTGCATTGTACTCTTCAGTGCTAAGTACTTATCAGAAAACTCTTGGGAAAGCAAGAAATATCTCATCAAACTTATCTCTAAGAACTGTTCTCTCCTCTGATTCGTTGACCTGCTCTCTGGGACTTAGTATTATCTTAGTAAAGTCAACATACCTGCTGGATAGCTGAGGAGCTACTGTTGCCGTTATATTTGATTGGACACACTGCTCTATCGATAGAGGTAAAGGCAATGTCTTAGAGGGTGGTGCAGGGTAAACAAAAGCCCCAATGGCTACCCAAAATGACAAGGTGATTCCTATAAGGAGGCCTCCTAGTGCACCCTTGAAGGAGAAAAACAAAGGTTGATATGAGATTAAACAGAGCTATTGGTTACAAGAAAAGTGATAGCTCAGTGATTCTGCCTATCCATCTTAATTTTGCTATGTACACTGGAAACACTCCAAAATGCTTGTGTATCAATTCTCACAAAGCAGTTTTATATATTTACTATCTCATTCATTCATCCATTTGTAGTGTTGAGTACAGAACTGAGGAACTCATAAAAATTAGACCATGTCTCTACTGAGCCACAACCCCAAGGCCATAGAGGTTTTAATGAATGAAGATCCCAGAGAATTCCTTAAGGATCATCATATTTAGAGTTCTAGTAAGAATTTTTTCTTTAATTTCTTTCTCTTGTTATTTAAAAAGATGTTGAAATACCAATATCATAAGTAGAGTTTGATAAATGAAGGAAAACTTCATATGATAGTGATAATGTGGTCATTTTTCATGGCCTTATACTGTGCAAAATACTGGATAGTGATAATGTGGTCATTTTTCATGGCTTTATACTGTGCAAAATACTGGATGTTATTTTTTTTCCACAGGTCAATTTAGAAAAATTCTCCTGATGCTCAAGTTTTGGGGTATTTTTTTTAATCTAAACTCTAGTAGTAAGTATATTTTCATTAGCTATGTCGTTTAAAGGATATGTTTCTTGATTAAATGAAGAGTTGATGAGTAATTTTCCCTCTGTGAAAACAAAACAATCTGGCAGAGACCAGGATGATTAAAAATCATATCTGATATGTTTAGTCTCCATTAAAAAGCTAAAAACTTCTGTGAAGGAAAACAATGAGCTGGGACGTCTCATATCCATTACCAACTAAGGAGAAGTCTCATAGACAAACCTACAAGACAGTCTGAAGGGAGAAATTCTCCAGCTGCAGTTCCTTCTTCCCAGATGGCTTTAGATTGTGTCAAGTTGACCAAAACTAACAAGCACACTAAGTATTAGTAGCCTCTCAAAGTATAACCAATGGCATAAAGATTCTTGTTAGGCTTAGGTAGAGAGCCGTAGAATCCTTACCTTCCAGTTCACAAAAGGGAACACGATCCCTAAAGTGAATAAACCCATCATCGGTCCCCCACACATGCCAAGGATGCTGAGGGCAGCCTATGGGAAAACAACAGACCAGATGAACCCCCAGATAACTTGAATTTATTCAATTCACTTTCACTTATTATGCCACCAAAGTTTCCCCAATTTGTTCCCTGAACCTTGAAATGAAAATATTGAACATATAAGTAGTCATTAAAGGATCAAGAAGATGCACTGTGAGCTAGAAGGCAAGCTATAAATTCCTTGATTAAAGGAATAGTAACCTATATATCTAATTTGTAATCAAGGAGCTTACAGAGTATCTTCTATGAATTATGACAACGTCCACCCGCACTCTCTACTCTCAAATGATGACTATTCACTTCTCCCTATTCTTTTTTCCAATTAAACAATATTTGTTGCTCAGCTGAATTCCAGTAAAATACAGAGGACATCAGTATTTCATAAAGACACAAGACAAGACAAAACCAAGACAAAACAAAACAAAAACAATGAGAAAGTTGAGGTAGAATCTATAGATTTGCTTAGCTGATGTTGCTGTGTTTCTGTGACTTGGCAATGTAGAGGGTGGGGAAGGATGGTCCAGGAAACTTGGGTCATATACCTAGTTCTGCCCCTCACTGTGCGAACTTGAACAGGACACTTACACTCTTTTCTGGAATCATCTACAAAATGAAGCTGTTGAAACAGATTATCCCTGTCTCCTCCAACACTATTATTTCATTGAACTGACAGTTGGACATGTGAGAAGCAGTTCACCTGTTAACAACTAGAGTTGGGTTTGAATACCAGTCTAACATTGTAACTTTGGTACAAGAACTTCTTAGTTTCTTCATCTAGAAAATTGATACATTAATTATACCACTTCTTACAGAAATGTTAAAGATGAAGTAATACATGCAAGGCTGTACCTAGAACATAGTACTATATAAATATTCCTATTGTTTGCAGTATTAATGACCATTAATAAAATTTTAAATGTTTCTAATTTTATCAGGTGGTCACTATCCCATTACAAGTTATTTCATTAATACTTTCCCTTTCTGAAAGTAAGTTTGGTTGAGATTTTTCATGTATGTTTAATTTGGACTTGGGGCACATACATGTCAATATTTGGGATTGGGAAGCATAGGCAAGACATTAGCAAAATTAATAGGGAAAAGTTTCTCTAAAATCAAATGTACCTTTTCCCTCTTTCATTACCTGAACAACACTCCCCATGAAGGAGGCGACCACAGCCATGGAGGTGCACAATATACCAAATACAAGACCTGAAAGAAAGACAGCACATGGTGATACATTTCCTTGAGAAAATCCTGGCTCTGAGGCCATCTTTGAGCACCCAGTCAGCACTGTTCCCAACCCAAGCCCTCCAGAAGGAACCATAGTGTGGAAAAACCTCTGCATAGGGAGGAAAGACCTTTGCACACAGTCAGCACGGATCCCTGTTCAGCACTTCCAGCACCTCTCTTCAGAGGTTAGAATAAACTGGAATCCAGTCTCTAGCCAGTTCTCTCTAGGATTTCAAAAGAAATCTGTCATGCAGAACCAACATGACAACATGGAAAGTGACCAAGCAAATCCAGACTAAATTAGTGGACGTTTGTTTCAGCTTAACCATTCTAAAAGAGAAGCTACTAAACTCTGAAATACGCATAGCTTTTCATCCTTAATTCTGCAAAATAGCACTTTTTACATTCTTCCACATGGGCTTGCACATCAGAAAACCTTTCTGATTTTGCTTTTTGGTGCTTTATTCATACCATCCTTAGTTAGAACATGATTTATTTATCTCTCAACAGAAGTGTTTGTTTACATATCACCACAAGAGGCTTCATTACAAGCACATTAAATTCCTATAATAACATAAACAACTAGAAAAAACAAAGATGGGCAGAGTCAGAGAAGAGAGAGAAAATCATCTTGTTCATTTTGTTTGAATAGTCTTGGTTAGTGTGATGTTAGTTTTAATACCCAACTTGACACAATCTAGAACTATCTTGGGAGCGAGTCTCAATGCACGATTCCTAGATCTGGACGGCCTGTCGGCATTTTGGGGTTTATCTTTATTATAGTAACTGAAGTGGGAAGACCTTCCCACTGTGGATGACAGCATCCCTTCATCAGGGGATCCTGAGGTGTTTAAGAGCAGAGAAAGCCAGCTGGGCATAGCCACACTGTACCGCTGTCTCTACTCTCGATGGTAGCTGCTTCAAGATGCTGCTCCCCTAACTTCTAACCATAACCTGGAATTGTGAGCTAAAATAAACCATTTTCCTTTAAGTTGCTTTTGTTGGGGTATTTTATCATGACAACAGGAAACAAAACTAAGACCTAGTCAGCTAAATATTCACCCCAGTTCTTAATATGACTATTGATTCAATTTTCTTGGATTCTGCCCACAGGTTGGATACTTTGCCATACAAGAGTGCCAAAAAATCAAAACTTTAGTCACATTCTGATAAGGGACTACACTAAATTTATTCAATAATCTATCTAAAATTAATTTCTCAAGAACAGTACCTGTGTGCTTTCACAATGCTAGTATCAGCTCCAACGACTAGACAAAAAACAAAAGAAAACACAAAACACCACAGGCATAGACAAAAACTTCTACCTCAATCTGATATACCCACGGATATCTGCAGGAAGTTGAGCACCTTCTGGGGTCTTTAATTCAGATAGTTAATAAGATGAAGGGAATTCACCCATTTAGCAAGTATGTAATTAAATTCATCTACGCTTGTTCAAACATAAATAAAAAGAAAAAAGATATATGTAATTCATGCTTAAATGAGGACATAAAAGATAATGAATATATCTTAACAAGTCAAATAAAGAGTATTTTCCTGGAAATAAATCATTGAAAACTGGCACTGTCAATAGACTGCAGAGATTGTGAAAGCTCAATGAAGCAAAGACATACAGGTCAAGAGAAACAGATCGAATTAAAATAAATACACAAAGATAAGGTCCAACACCAGTAAGTTCATAAAGTTGAACTCAGCTGTGACAACAAAGCATTTCAAGTAAATATAAAGTCTTGATAGCCCACAAAGCACACCTAGCTATTGATCAATGAGTAATGCAAACAGGTTCACAGAAAGGTTTATACAAGATTTTTTATAATAATCTCAGATTGAAACAGCCTTCTTGCTCAATAGATATACAAATGACTCCCAAAATTCATGGTTTTATATTCTTGTATTCAATTAAGTGTGGTTAAAGTATTAAAGGAAAATGATATCTGTATTGAACATATATATACTTTTAGTCTCATCGTTAATTCTCAAACAATATAATATAATTTATATACCATTCACATCGTTTTAGGTATTGCATCTAATCTGCAGATAATTTAGGTTCTATGGGAGGATGTACACAGGCAATATAAAAGTACTACACCACTGTACGTAAGGGACATAAGAGTATCTGTAGATGTCTATATTTATGGGAATTGTGGAATCAACACTTATGGATGTTAAGGAATGTTGCGTATATTACATTTTTAAAACACTATGGCATATGCATGGTGTGCAGCAATAAAAAGAAACAGACCACCTATACACAAAACAATACCAGTGGTGATAAATTTCAAAATAATTATGCTGTAAATTGTTAGAAAAATGAATGCTACTGTGTGAATCCATTTATATGAAATTCTGGAAAATGTAAAAGTCAGTGGTGGAAAAAAATCAAATTGTTGCTTGAATTGGGTTACACAGGTAAATGAATTTGTCAAAACATAAGTCTGTGTTTAACATTTTTCCATTTCATTATAGGGAAATGTTTAAATTAAATGTTTGAAGCAGATATTAAATTCCATTTAATGATTTGCATGCTAAAATAATTAAAGAAAATGAACTGATGTCTCAATTTACTTTTAAGTAAATGAAAATATAATCAGCTAATAGATGGAGAGAGCCAGAAAGATATGTGAAAAAGGTTAGGAAAGATTGGTGGATAACCTCTATGTATATGGGATAAACTGTTTTTGTTTGTTTCATTTTTTGTTGTTGTTTTGGTTTGATTTGTTTTGTTGTGTTTTTTTCAGTCTTTTTGAGACAGGGTCTCCCTGTAGCCCCAACTGGCCTGGAACTCACTATGTAAACCAGGCTAGTCTTGAAGTTACAGAGATCGCCTGTCTCTGACTCACGGGTGCTGGTATTGGAGGCATGTGCCACCATGCCTGGCCTGAGTAAACTATTTTCTTAAAGATTCATTTATTTTTCATTTTATGTGTATGACTATTATGCCTACATGTATGTAAGTACACCTGTGTCATGCACTGACTGTGGAAGACAGAAGAGAGCATTGGATCCCCTGGAATTAGAGTTATAGATGGCTGTTAACTGCCATGTGGGAGTTGGGATTCGAACCTGGGTCTTCTGCTAGAACAGCCAGTTCTCTTAAACACTTAACCATCTCTCCAGTCCCAGGAGTAAACTATTTTGTCACATGGCTTTTGTTATAAAATATATGGAACCAAACACAAAAATGAAAGTAAACACAATTACTGTTAAAAGATGTTGTTTCAGAGGAGTTCAAAGTAATCTTGAGAGAGACTTGTGCATTTCAAGAATGCGGAGGATTGGAAAAATCTATGGAAAAAAGGAAAAATAATGTGACAGACATGGGAGATGTGCAATCAAATTTAGAAGAATAATGAAGAAGGGGATGATGAAACTATTAGTATGTTCAATAATCAAGCTTCCTATACAATGATTTAATTTTGTGAGTCAACAGGAGTTGAATAAATGGCTAGGTATGAGCTTTACACGACAACAACAAAAGCAAACACAAATCTAGAGCACTGTCACTTTGATAACAGTTTAGAAAATATTTTGGAGAAATCATATTACTCAGAATATCAACAAATAGAAATGAAGAAGAAAAGAGAGGAGACAAAGAGGAGGAAAAGGAGAAAGGAATGAGGCAGTTTAGAGTTGCAGACCTGGTGGTTCAGAGAAAACAGCTGTAAATATTAGATAACCAATATTAAAAAGAAACCTCTGGAAATGTGCACCAAGAGCGATACTCCACCTATCAGAGGTTATAACTCGAGGAAGTACAAATTTATTTGGAAGTATAAGGACTGAGCTCAAACATTATTGAAGGAGTTCCAGTCTAGAAAACAACTGCACAGGGAAATGCACCCCCAAGTTTCAACTGAAGACCCTGGGGCTTGGGCAGAAGAATATGACAGCATATTACATACGGTAATGGTAATAGTTTGTCAAGCATGTAAAATGCAAGTTGTGGAAATATGGAGGCTTGTATCAATTTTCTAGATGCCAAACAAGGTGTGATAAGGTCAGATTTCTTGAAAGGAAGCCCTGAGAAGCCATTCTGTGCAGCTGTAAAGTTGAATCATAAGTCACAATAGAAACTCCAGCATGGTGGCAATGCCAAAAGTATGAGGCATCTGCCAAGTAAAACTGCAGTCATAGAAAGGAGTCAGTCAAAGAAAGAGGCTATGTGTGCTACAGCAACAGAAATGGACAGCCCTGCCTAGCCCAGATGATGCTCCATGCTGAGCCCCCAATGGCAGACATGAAGCTACAGGATTTGGCGCTTGCCCTGCTGGGTTTCAGTCTTGATTTGTCCCTGCAATACCTCCTTTTCTCTCTTTTGAAATGGAAATATTTACTCTATACAACTTTACACTGTATTATCATTTTTTTAGTATTTTACAGTGGTTCAAGAGACGGTCTGTACTTTTTTTAAAACTTTAAAAAAATTTTATTTATTTTTATTTTATATGTATGAGTGTATTGCCTACACGTAGTTAAGTGCACCCATGCCGCGCAATGCCTGCAGTGGTCAGAAGTGGCTGTCGGAACCCCTGGGACTGGAATTACAGACAGTTGCTAGATGCTATGTGGGTACTGGGATTCAAACCCGGGTCTTCTGCAAGAACAACCAGTGTTCTTAACCACCGAGCCATCACTCCAGCCCCTGTACTTTTAAATTAAAACAACGAAATCAATAATTGAGTGACTGAAATGAAGAGACAAATTTCAAAATATGAAGTAAAAATAATCAGTATATGTATGAAAATGTATTCAATTTCCATGACCATCAGAGAAATGCAAATTAAAACTATTTTGAAGTTCTACTTCATGGAAGTCAAATTGACAGTCATTTATAAAGTCAATAAGAATACGTGCTGGCTAGCATACAGACAAAAAGGAATCCTCGTAGACTGGCAATAGAAATGTTAACTGGTCAGGTCACAAGGGAAATCAATAAAGAGGCTTTTCATAAAACCAGAAATAGAACCACATGACCCAGCTACACCAGTCCTGGTGCATAACCAAAGGACTTTGAGTCAACATGCCACAAGATAGTCATGATAATTAAAAAAAAAAGGGGGTCCAACAGCTGTACCTACATAAGCCTTTACTGATCCATGTGCTCTGCTTGTCGGAGAGATGTGGAAAACAGCTCTTGACAAAATCCTCAAAGGTCACTGTTGCTAAGGCATTGATGCTAGCAGCCACTGTGCTACAAGAAGAGAAAAATAAGAAAATAGTCTGAACTAAATAGGAAAAACCATCAGACAACCTTGTCATCCAGGAAGGAAAATTCAGAGATATGTCCAAAATACTGAACTCCGAGGAGAACTGCATGATCTGTTTGCTAATTCTGCAAACCTTTTTCTATGCTAATACTCTTTCAGTTTTTCAACTAACTACACAGAAGTTAAGGTTTCCTGCTCTAACTCCAACTAATCATACTTAACAATATGCTAATAAATTAGCAAGAAATAGCAAGGAGATTATTCACATACATGCCCACATGTGCATGTTTATGTGGTGAGGGAAGGGGCGAACTTTCCTCTAGACTGGAGTGAAAGCAGCAAGGTACTACTGTCTTAACCGAGGAGTAAGTGCACCTTGTCATTCATTAATAACTTATTTATACGTGCATTTGTTTATTCATTGCAGGTAGTAGGCATAAGATGTTGAACTCAAAAGGCATAGTTCTTACACGCTACCTGTGAACACAGACATTCAACAACCAAATTATGCAGTTTATTATACTCAAAAAAATTTATGAAGAAAATAGCAAGGTGGAATATTGATAGAAAATTATCCCTTAGGAAATGACAGTTAGGAGAGACTGATAAGAGTCCTGAAAAGTAAGGGAAAGACTGGCAAATAAAGGAGAAATTGGATAAATACACCTTGAGCTGGAAAGGAAAGTGTCACCCTCAGTAGCCTCCAGCCTCCAGAGTGGCTGGAATGTGATTAGTAAAGGCAAGAAGAGAGATCAGACTGACAAGCTGCAAAGGTTCCAAGAGGATTTTTATTTATTTATTTTTCCGTGACTTTCCAGAATTGAGTCTTAATACACCCGTCAGAACATCCGAAAGTTGAGTTTTCTTTGCAGAACAGAATAAAAGCTTATTTAAATTACCCATATAGACCAAGGATGTTTTCATTAGTCCAATAAAGAATTAAGTTCAAATGGTTAAAAATTGTCATTCAAGAATGATCCCTTCTAAAGTATGTAGTAACATAATAATTCCAACTTCATTTTAGCGGTCGTTTTAAGTTCAGTTGCATAAGAAGATAAAGAAAAGAGTATAATTAGTAAGAAAGAAGAAATATCCAAAAAGTATTTATGATTTCATGATTTGAGGGAAAAATGACTCAGAAAATCAACTAAAAATAATTGATGAAAAGCACTAGATATCACGAAGTTCTGGAAAATAAAGTTAATAAATAGCCTCAAGCCTAACAGATAATGGCATGTTACAGTCATTAAAATTATTGATGTCATCATATCTATAGACTGAAGGCTGAGAAAAATGGAAAAATTCATAGAAAAATGTAAGGAGCAATAAAAGTAATATTTCAAGTCAGTGGTGAGAAGGTGTCTTATTTAAAGAAATAAAGAGACAAATGGATGAGAGTTTTGAAGGAAAGCCCATGAAGAACTCTACTTAACCTTTTAGAACACATATATAGGGAAGATGGCTGTGTTGGTTTGAATGACAATTGCCCCCCCCTCCCCCGGCTCACATGTCTGAACACTTGATCTCTCTTTGTAGCACTGGTTGGGAGGTGGTGTATCCTTACTAGAGGAAGTCTATCACTGGAGGCAGGCTTTAATAGCTTTGTTCCACTTCTAGTTCGTTCTCTCTGCTTCCTGGGTATGAAGTGAGATGTGATCTTTCAGATTCCTGCTCTAACTGCCTGCTGCCATGCTCTCCCAGCCTACCATTATAGACTCCTCCTCCTGAACTGTAGACTAAAATAAACGCTTTTTTTTTTTTTTTTTTTTTTTTTTTGGTCTTTTTGAGACAGGGTCTCCCTGTAGCCCCAGCTGTCCCGGAACTCACTATGTAGACCAGGCTGGCCTTGAACTCACAGACTGCCTGCGTCTGACTCCTGAGTGCTAGGATTAAAGGCATGCGCCACTACGTCCAGCAAAAAGTTGTTTTTTGTTATGGTATTTTATCACAGCATCAAAAAAAGAAAAAAATACAATGATTTAATAATTTTAATACTTAATATAATAAACATTACCATATTATCTGAATAATTGTTAATAAACTAAAATCCATAATGTAAAACATGAATTTAAAATCTCAATATTTCAAAAATTGCCTAGCAGACTAGGCAGTATGCTGCAGGGTCAGGTCTCTGTAATCAACCCCCTGGAGGACAGTGTGAAATGGAGTCTCATAGAAAGTGGCATCCCAAGGAAGGTAGAGAATACAGGAATATCTAATGTTCACTGGAGTTAGTCATAGGCAGCATGAAAAGCCATCCTGAGAGAATGACCCTACAAGATGGCACTGGTGGGAGCTCATCTTCCAGTGTGATCCATCCTATTTGCCAGACATGGAACTTCAGGATTTAGCATTCTTAGTGACGGACTTCTTTCTCATATACTACATGACAACTAGTATGCAAATAAAATACAAAGAAAGTAGTCAGTGGGTCAGTTACTACATAGCAAGTGCTCAGTAGACAGAGTTGCAATAGATAGAATTGATCTTTATCTTCACCATTCATGTTAGTTCAGCATCACCACTGTCATCATCATCATTATCATCATCCTCAGCAGCAGCAGCAGCTTGGCAATATACTAACCTTAGAGTTCCACTAAAGGCACAAGCCACAAAAAGTCCTGGGAGTCCTGGCATAGTAGCAAATAATTCCATGACAAAATATGGCATAAGCTGAGAAGAAGGAGGAGGAAGAGGAGGAGGAGAAGAAAGGGGAGGGGGAGGAGGATGGGGAGGAGGAAGAAGGACAAGAGGAAGAAGAGGAGGAGGGAGAGGAGAAAAGAGAGATTATTAATAGTTATCCTAATATCTCAAATATTGGAATATAGCTTTCCAACAAAAGTAGCTGAAAATCTTCAATGTCCATATTTTCTTGTCTGTTTGACCTGAATTTAGCAGGTAATCTCTAAAGTCCAATCCTTAAAATTGGACTTTGGGAAATCTAAGTATTATGGTTCCACTCTGTAGTCTGGTTTATAGGAAAGGAGATTCTACCCGACAGAGTGGGACATCTGAATACACGGGAGAAAAGGAGAGTGAATGCTCTTTGTGAGCATGTTATCTCTAAATGGAGTTTTCAGAATCACATTTAATGTTGTCATGTTTATGTTATACTGAGGACATATGATCATAGGCATCGTAAGAATAAAAACCATGCTGTTAAGAATTTATTTAGATTATGCTATTTCGTATTCTTTTTGCCTTTTTGAGACAGGGTCTCATGTAGCCCAGAGTGTTCTACAACCCACTATGTGCCCTAAACTAGCCTTGATCTCTTGATTCTCCTGTCTCTACCACCCAAATGCTATATTACAAATGTGTGATACATGCTTGGCTTTGTTCAGTTTTGGAATGCTGCATCATGAGCTAGTCTTAGACTATGTATGAAAGGAGTATAAAAGGAGCATTTACTCTTTCAGCTTTGGCCTGGCTTCAGACTTTGTTTTCAGGAACAAAGGGAGGTATCTTCTTTCTAAATGTCTAATTCTCCATATTAGAAAGAGGCCATAGCCTTGTGTTTGACAAGTGGCTAAAGGTCTAAGCAGAAAAAATATAAACCCAATATTACTCAATTTATTCTAGACATTCTACAGTGAAACCAAGAAAACGTACCTGGTCTGGTGCTGAAATAACACCAGAAGTCCAAGGGTCACAGTCTTTGAAGTGGGCATACATGATCAAGCCAGAGAAGACAGCACACAGCGCAATGATCCAGAGACCCAACAAGTTACAATACAAGGCACTAGAAAAGAGTAAATGGGCCAATTGCTAAGCACAAAGCCTCACTGCAGCATGGTAAGGTCATGACTCGGGGTAACCCTTGAGGAGGGTCCTTTCTCCAGTTTCAAGAAGCATTACATTTTGTAAGTTTACATTGGAAGAATCATTGCATTTCTTAGGTTAATTACAAATTTTTAATAAGGAGTATTTTAGATGGATTTGCCTTTAAAATAGTTTTAAATATTTCTTTCAAAATCTCAATATATGTGGCATATAACAAACACACTTTCTCATATCAAATTTCACATGCCAATCTAGAACTTCAAGTGATTTTTCCCCTCTACTCAATTCACCAAACTGTCATAAAAAAACAATGTGAATTTCAACAACTTTTCTTCCAGGGGCTAATGAGATAACATAAAAATAGACAAGGAAGGGAAATGATCACCTTGGAGATAATTGCAGATGAAAGTGAAAGTCAAATATTTTAAATAGAAAGAACAAAAACTTAAGATCATCTTAGCTATTAATTGGAGTGGGTTATTTTATTCTACACCAGCATAAGTTATAGTTGGGTGCTTTTATAATATCCTATTTTGTATTTATGCAGTCATTTGAATGTCCAAATTTTACTCTTCTTTATTTGTTTTCTGTTGCCCCAGCTGGCCTGAAATTTGCTATGCAGACCATCTAGGGCTGGCTTCCATATATTAGTGATTCACCTGCCTCTGCCTCCTGAGTTCTGGAATTAAAGGCATACACCACCAGGTTCAGAAATTTTCCTCATATTCTTAATCCCAAGGAAGATCTGAAAGTAAGGCTGCCTTAAGTTGTCTTGAAAAAATAAATAATTTCATTGTGGTGACATTCAGGCAGAGTTTTCTTGAATCTAGTCACTGTTTAAAGGAAATCAAATGTGTTCACATTCAAATAAGAACACATATTCCAGGGCCACAATGGTACTGTGCAGGAAGAAATGACTTTTATAAGAACTTAAATTTAAATCTTTCTTCATTTACCAAGGAAAATTTTTAGAAAATTTTACCATAGTTTTACATTTTTAGAAAAATTTGAATGTAAAAACCGGGTATGGTGACACATGTTTTTAATTCCAGCACTCAGAATGTAGTCATGTGGATCTCTGTGTGATCGAGGCCAGGCTGGTTCACATAGTGAGTTCCAAACCAGCTGTGGCTATAGGGAGACCCTGTCTCAAAAAAGTCAAAAAGAATTTATTGGAAAGGTTACTAATCTGACGGTATTCCAACTATTATTTTTAGTTTTGTTTCTTGACTTGTATTTGCTTTATGGGGTTGGGAATGTACTTGCTAAATAAGATGATGACGTGCATGATTTCCTTAATTATACTCTTGCTATCCATCTGAGGAAAGCTAGCCTCTACTGAGGCTATCTCCTAGCTAAAGGATATTTTAATGAATTAATAAAAGAGGGTTGCAATTCATTACACTATGATTGGGCTCTTTATCCCAATTTTTAAAAGAGATTTGGACCTAGAGTTGGGAGGTTATCCTTAACAACTATGAAGACTTAGGATTTGTTACCTGCAAAAGAACATAGCACTCCTACCATACTTTTACAAGACTAACATGAAGATTAAATGAGATACATTGGCAAAAAGATTAAGACTATTTGGTCACATGGACATCATTCATTACTCCAAAGGTTTATAACTTCACCAGTCAACTAGAGAAGACAAAAATTGATTGACAAGACTGTATAAATTGCTAATCATTGCATTTTGAATGTGCTTTTCTTTTTTTAAATATTTTGTTTATTATTTTTATTTTATGTGTATGAGGGTATTGCCTGCATGTACATGAGTGTACCCATGTTGAGCAATGCTGCGGAGATCAAAAGAGTGCTTCGGATTCCCCTGGAACTGGAGTTAAGTACAGTTTGTAGCCGCCATGTGGGTGCTGGGAATAGAACCCAGGTCTCTACAAGAGCAGTCAGTGCTCTTAACTGCTGAGCCATCTCTCCAGCTCCTGAATATGCTTTTCATTATAAATGGGCTTTGATTCTATACAGGGAGGGGTGCTGTGTTTGTAAAGTGAGTCATTTTGTTGGTTTGTTAATATTAATTGGGCATTTCTGTATGCCAGGCACAGGTTTCTGAAGCTATATGGAAAATAATAGAAACTTCCTTTATGGAGATTATATTGTGAGGTTGAAATAAAAAGATAAATACTATTATTTTAGATATCAAACATCCGAAAATTTTTTTAAATGGGAAGGAAAACTTGATTGAGGTGGATGTGTTCATTTTAGCTGGGCATTGTGATGTAATGAGGAGAGTCTCAATAGTCTGTATCATCACCTTCTATCCTTATACCACCACTGACTATCGATAACCCTTAAAGATAAACCAGAGTCTAGAAACAACAAGTGAGGAAGCAACCAAAAACTGATTCAAATTAGTTGGAAAATAATATGATTTCTGGAAATAATGAAGATCCGGCTGAAGAAAAAGTTGTCTTTGATACGCGTCCTAGGTGAATGCTGGTGTTTCACTTATTTTGTCCTTTTTATTCAGCCTGGTACTCCTAGCTTTTGAGGTAATGTTGCCCACGTGTATGGTGAGACTTCCCTTTTCATCTCAGTTAAACTTCTCCAAAAATACTTTCACAGACATGCCCAGGATTCTCAATCGCACCAATTTGGCAATCTAAATTAACCATCACAAGTTCATCCCTTATCAATTTGATACCATAGCATACCACTTTTAAATCAAAATATTCTGCCTTCAGTCCCTAAAGTCTCCTGTTAAACTCATAACATAAAATGTATTCTGTTCATTTCTAAAATAGCCCCCAGTATTAGCAGTTCCAAGTGTTTAAGTGTAGAATATCTTTTAAGACTCTTCTGATCGCTAACTATGAGCCCTCTGGAAAATCACTCAAAACAAGTTATGTATTTCTGGTATACACAGTGGCACAGTGTAAGCATTCCCATTCCAAAAGGAAGGGATGAGGACATAACAAGGAAAAATTGGTCCAAAGTAAGACCAGAACCAAACTGGACAAATACCAAATCCTGCATATTTGCATTCTGTATCTGAGGCTCTTGGTTGCTTTATTTGGGTTCCAACAGCCTTGCAGAGCCCTACTACTCATTACACTGCCTACAGTACATGCAGCCTTGCTCCTGTGCCAGTTCCACTCTACCTGCAGCTGTCCTTGGCAGATGTCCCATGGCTCTAGCATCTCCAACATCCTGGAGTCTACATTGAAAGGTAAGCTTCACCTTCACAGTTTCACACTGTGGTCTCCAGAAGTCTCTTCTCAAAGAATCCAACACTGCCACATATTGCCTGGCTTGTGAAGCTTTCTGGAACTTGTTATAAACCTACATGATCCCTTAATTCGTTCATTTTGTGTGCTTACAAAACCAATCCTATAAGGAATGATGCTGTCAAATTCTGCCAGTTGGTTATTCAGTCTGCCTCCCTTCTACCATAGCTATAGTGGCCTCTGTGAATTGTGGTAGCTAAACCTGGGAATACTTCTTTTCCAATAGGGGACCCCTTCAGCAGCACTTGCAGCTCAATCTTTCTGTTTTTGAATGAACTTGCAATACAAGCTGAATCCCTTAATGCGTGTGTTCTTAACCTCAGTGCATCTATTCTATCATCCCAGCGCAGTTTGAGGTTTCTCCTCAGTTGTGATAATCTTTATCAATTACAGTTGCTTTCTGTACACCCTCCTTGCCAGGAACTTTTAAACTCACTCATACTCATGCAATCAGGTCCTAAAGTCTAAGAACCACATGGCAAGTTCATTAGAGCAGTGGTTCCATCCCTCTCTACCATTTCTCTACATTAGCTACTTTTCTTGTTGTGAGAAAACACCTGACAAAGCAATGGAAGGAATGGTTATTTTGGCTTGTGGTTTGAGGGTGCAGTCCATTATGGTAACAGAGGTGTGGATAAAGGTGTTAGGACTCATAGTTCAAAAGTGGAGAGAGATAAATGCTGTTGCTCCACTCACATTCCATTTTTATTCAGTCTAGGCCTCCACTTTCTTGTATGTTGCCTGCCAATATATAAAAGTAGGTCTTGCTTTCTTCAGTTAAAATGCTCTCATGACATTCTCATAGAGATGTCCAGAAATTTACTTCCTAAGATAGTCTAAAGCCCATCGAGTTGACAATAAAGATGAACTATCCAAGAAAATAAGCATCACACTTGGTTATCCAATTAACTGAACAGGTAGTGAACCACTCATAGTTTCAACTGATGACCACATTATCAATTTTTTGATTTTGTGAATCTGTTTATACTTTTCTGCAAATCTATTTTTCTTTTATATATGTTTTTGATGAGATTTTGTGCATTTCCTACAATACATTTTAATCATATTTAGAAATCACTCCCTTATATGTACCTACCATAGCCCACCCACCAGATTTTTGCATTCTGTCCATCAAGTTAAGTTTGTGTACCCAGATGTCCCTCTGTGTGAGTTCACGCATTGGAGCCTGGTCAATCTAGCATCACTCCCTTAAAGAATACCATCTCTCCCTCACCCAGCAGTGATCAGCTGCCAATAGTTCCCCAGCCAAGGTTGGGGTCCCTTGTCCATTTTCCCAGTTCTATGCTAGGTTTTTATCCAATTGAGTTTTTGTGGGTCTTGTGCATGCTGTCACCATTGCTGCAAGTTCATATGAGTAGATTCCCAGAATTCAGGACGACTGTTTCTTTATGGTCATGCATCACCACTGGCTCTTACAATCTTTCTTCCCACTCTTCTGCAATGGTCCCTGAGGCCAGGTAGGTGAGGTTTGATATATGAGTTCTATCCAAAGACATTCACTCAGATTCAGAATCTATTTTTCTTAAATAACGGAGCTGTTTCCTAAACTCCAGTGGGATATTTTTAAATATATCAAGCTGTCAAATAATTATATAAAGCCAGAAACAGAACGTTTTGGTCACTGGTCTGGAATTAGTCTAGCTGACTCTGGGTGACTTCCAATTGTCTAAGAATTCTTCTTGAGGCTCTAATTGTGAGACGATCGAGATCCTACAAGATTTCACCATTGCAAACTCCCCTCTGGCTATGTGCACATCACACTGCACTGACCATTCTGACCAATTTTTTTTCTCTTGTATTGTACTGATTAAATCAAATACATTCTCTGAGGGAATTCTTTTATAGAGTGCTTATTTTTTATCTTATTCTAAAAAGTTCTAACCACAGCTTTGACACATTCAAAAAGATGGAATGGAACCTGAAATTCAAATCCTAAATTCTTGGAAAAGTGTATGCACTGCTGTCTTGACGAATTTCTGTCCTTTACTGCCAGGTTTTATAGACACTAAATACTAATGAAAAAATTTTCACATTCTAAGAAACTGTGGAGACTAATACAGCACTCACTTTTTATTTTACTTAAACTAACTCACTAAGATGCATTGAGACACACAAAAAGGAATATGTATGTGAGCATGCATGCATACACATACCCAAATACTTCCAGTTATGTGGGTGTCCATATGTTTGTGCACACACCCAAATATGGCCTTCCTAAATAAAGCATTATATTGTTTCATAAATGATAAAATCTTAACAAGCACAATGTATTATTCTGGGTCTTTTAAGGAAAAAATATGAGAAAGATTAAGTTCCCTAACATCCAAGTACTAATGTATTAGGAGCCAGAAATTTAAAATATACAAGAGAACGTAATAGCTAGGATGTTACAAATATCTATTGTATCAACCACTCAAGAGACTGAAGCTGAAGAATGCTTCTGAGCCCAGCTTGAGGCCAATCAAAATAAGCAGAGATCCCATATCAAAATTAAATAAATTTATAAAAAATAAAAAAGATGGTATCAAAAAAGAACTAGATTTAACAAAAAATGAACATTTATTTCACCAAAGAATTCTCTCTTGTTTCTGGTCTACAAATCTCATTCTCCTTTTGTAAAATGCCAGAAATGAACATTTATTTCACCAAAGAATTCTCTGTTTTGGTATATTCGACTCTATTTTATCTAAAAGCAATGTTTTGAATGAATTTTAACCTTAAATTCATTTTAATATCAGTACCATATATTTTTATTAATTCAGATGTTTAATAAAATTATGGCCGTGTGTGTGGAACACTTGCTTAATATTAATTCTTGTAACAGGAAGTGAATGCATTACCATCAAATTGAGATTACGCTACACAATTCGTTCACTTTCTTCCTCTATGTTATGAAATATACATATAGTAACAGTGTAATTCCTGTTTTGGAATTCATCTTAAAAAATGGCTGAATTATTTCTAGACGATTTTATGTGTTCTTCATTGGAAATAAGAAATTGTACACTCAGGGCCTGGAGAGATGGCTCAGAGATTAAGAGCACTGGCTGCTCTCACAGAGGACCTGGGTACAGTTCCCAGTACCCACATGTCGGCTAACAATCATCTATAACTCCAGTTCCAAGGGATCCTATCTACACCTTCTTCTGTCCCTCCATGGGTGTTTCATGGAAAGGTGCACTTACATACATGCAGGCAATACACTCATACACATAAAAATAATGAATAAAATAGTGTTAAAATTTGTACATTGAAAGTATTTTAAAATTATGTGGGGAAGAGCCACTGTGACTCCTATTTGCAACAGTTTGACTGTGTTTAAGTGCCTGGAACCTTGAGTAGCAGTTCTAGGGATGAAACACCACTTTATATGTGTTTCTAGTGTTCTTGCTAGTTGTGTAAATGAATACAGAATTCCCTCTTCTATCCCTCTAGAGCATGTGCCATTCTGTTATTCTTGGGGGAACCTGAATGAGCTAGCAGTCCCTTGCTCTCATGTCATGTAGTCAGCTGTCCTGGCAAGAGCTGGGGCAGCCATAGTCGTGTTATCTTAAATATTCTTCTTTTAAAATCTCTTCTTAAAAACTTTAAGGGTAACTATACCTGTTCAAGTAAATCACAATGGAGATCAGACCTGTAGAATCTGGAAGCAGAGCCAGTTAAGTCTATAAAAGCTTAACCGTGCTTGATTGGCAAACATAAATAAAGTTTGATTTGTTCTATTTTTTGTAAGTGCTGACATTTAAGAAAACTGCAATTTGAGGTAAACCTATCAGAACACCCCATGTAACTGATAGAACTAGGGGCTGCTCAGAGGATGAGCCAAATAAGGCAATTATATAACCTATTCTTATTGGGTACATAATTGTCTCACTTCTGTATTCAAGCTTTAAAAGTCTCTTCCTTGTGTTCATTCAGTGAACCCCAGGCAACATCTGTGTTGGAGCTACCTGACTCAATATTTACTGTTTATCCAAATAAACTCAGTTAGAAACAATTACAACTCAATTTACTTCTTAACACATCAAAAATAAATAATAGCTAAAGAGAGCAGATGATGAATCCATTAGTAATCAGGGTCATCTCATCATGGAAACTGTAAGCAACAAATATGCTGTTTATGTCTTCATTCCCCTTCAGCGCACTTAAGTTAACCTATTAATTTCTCACTAAATGAACCAGAAATTATTTCACAGTAAATCCAAACAGTTTTCAATTTAAATGTAGTTTTGATACTTTGTTGAGGTAGGAATAGTAATGTTTGACTGAAAGTTATTTTAAAGAGCTGGAGAGATGGCTCAGGGGGTAAGAGTCCTTGTTGCATAAGCATGAGGAGCTGAGTTTTGACCTCAGCACCCTTGTAAAAAGCTATGCATTATTGTACATGCACCTGTAACCCCAGCACTGTGAGAGGCAGACAGGAGGATCACTGGACCACCAATGCTAGCTTGAGATTCAGTGAAACACCCTATGTCAAAGGCAAAAGATGATGAATTATAAAGCAGGACATCTGATGCCTTCCTCTAGCTTCCACAGTACACACATTACACAACCACACACACTCGTGTATACAGACATTCATATGCATACATACACATACCTACTTTCATACACACATATAAATACATGCAAAAAGTCACTGAAATAAATATCTTCCTTTATTTCTTTCCTTCATTTATATACTCAGGTAATAGCTCACTGAAGTAAAAGAAGATATAGGAAAAAAATTGATCAACAACTTACAGCTTAGCATGCTTCTCTGTTTTGCAAGAGATGCATCTCTGGATGGTTGATTGATTAACTCCATAGATTCCTAGCCAAGTAAAAGTTCCTCCCACTGTAATTGTCCAAAAAGTGTGTCGCCGGAGCGGATCTACATCAAAGCTATGAAACAGAAAGAAGGGAGAAACAGATGTTTCTTTGACACCAAATATTAATTTAGTTTATGAGGCCATGCAATTAAATTTTATAAAGCTTGAAAAAGTAGCACTGGACATACTCAAATACGTGTAGTCGAGATCCATTCGTTGCGTGCTCTAATACATTGTGGATTCCACCACCACGATTTGATCCTTGAATGAGAACTGTTAAGAAGCCCACAATCATGACAACCATCTGAAATGCATCTGTCCACACCACCGCTTTTAAACCTCCCTGAAATGGGGAGAATAACATCAGTTATTGAGAATGATGTTTGGAACCAATCCAACTCCAGTAAGTTGCCCTGTTGCTGAATCATTCATTCATTCTTTCATTCAGAAACTATTACTGACATCTTTTACATGCAAACTTCTGGGTTAAACATGGGAACAAAATGCTAAGTGAAGCAGACAGGTCCTTCTTTAACTTCACTCATTTTATAAATTAATAGGAAAATTGGATATTAAGTAATAATATAAACCTTTGCTTAAAATTGTGGGAAGTGCAATGGAAGACTGTTGAAATATGCAGCAGAGAGTCACGACCCAGTCTTAAGACTTGAAAATTATGATAAATTCTGAATAATGAATAGAAATTTACCAGGTTAGAGGACAATTTGGGAATTGGTACAGCAGGGATGAAGGCAGAAGAAGCATAAGCTCCAAGGAAATGAAGGAAATCTAGAAGACAAACATGGGTGCTGTGGATAGATCCAAAGGCAAGTTGCTGAGCTTTCTGTAAGACAGAACAGCTGTAGCTTGACAAGGCCACTCAAATGATTCCTCAAAGGCAAATAAAGTACATGAAGGAGAGTCACATATTAGAAGAAATTTGTTTTTCAGTCAACCATTGGTTTTTGTGTGAATAGTGAATTGAAATACTGTAATAGAAAGGAAATCAGTTGAGAGTTTATTCTACCTTCCCTTGTCCTAAGTTAGCAACAGTTTGAACCAGGATTATACAAGGAAGGAAAGAAGAAAGAAAAGGAGAGA